ATATCTGTCTGTCTCTTTATATATATAGGTGGCTGCAAATTAAATGCTCCAGCCATTTGAACCTGCTGTCAACATCTAAATTAAAATGAGCAGAGAAAATTCGAAGAGTGTCAAACATTTCCCCACGATCAAATGACATCATGGTCATAACTTTGAAGAAACGTTTGTAACAAATTATAGTCAACAACAACAATGCTTCTGAGTATTGAATGTGAAGCAGCAGCTTGTGAAACTTTTATTTACTGTTAAAAATGTTGAATTGTCGGAGTCAGAAGACACAGGGGGATGTGAATTTCCCATGATTTAGCCTTGGAATTCCTTACTGCTGATGTGCTCACTGCAAATGATTCTCACCAAATTACTTCAAGCCCAAATGTCGGAGGAGGTGAAACTGAGTTTACTGTTGGACGTTTGCCCGACGCATTCGATGTTCTGTTAGTATTTAAGTTTGCATGTGAGTTGTTCATTCAGACGTTACTTCTCTGGTCTCCACGTCAAAATTAATATATGCAATACAAATCTTGTGATTAACTTATATTTGTCTTTAGTTGTTCTTTTCTCACACATTTAGTTCATTTGCCCAGCTCCTCACTGACTATACTATGTCCAAGCTTTTTAAAATAAACACAGTTTCTTCATGAGGTCATCTTTAGAACTCTCCACACTAGCAAGAAAGATGCATTTTCCAATTAGTTCAAATCCTGCCTTTTAATTAGGCATGTGTGACTAATGTGTTGAAGTTTGTTGCTGCTTTCAGTTTGAATGTTTGCAGTTTGAAGTTTGTTTGAATATGACAGAGTGAGAGATTATTACACTTGCAGGGCTTGAATAGATTTATTACGTCTCATGCTGTTTAGAGGTCAGGAGCATTAGTTTTGGTTTTCCACACTGCTGGTGCACAAGAGAGAGTGGATGTGGTTCAGTCAAGTCTAAAGAGTCATTACTGCAGCCGTGGGAAGTTCTCCCTGAAGGAAAGACTTGTCAACTTTTCCATCTCAGAGAAGTTTGGCTCCAAACTCGTGTCCGTTCAGAGCAGCTAGATTCACATCCATGTTAGTTTTTGAATCTTCACAATAGAAATACACGATATTGGATTTTTGGCCGATATCCGATATGCCGATATTTTAAAACTTATTTAGCCGATAACCAATACCAATACCGATTTTTTATTTATTTACAGAGATTACATAGCTTTCTCTGCTGTGGAATTAAAATACTACATTATTCTGCATGGTCTTTGTCAATTTGGCCTGCTACCAAATGCAGATGCCGAAAGGGGGGCTGAAAATAATGTAACACCTTAACTTGGATTATGTTTAATGTCAAATTTATTCATGACATTTACTCTAACACCACGACAACACTCGAACAGTGCAAATTTGTAAATTTGCACAAATCTAACCTGTTCACAGGTGAAACGCGCATAAGTAGTAGTGCATTAATAGATATACTTGACAGTTTCTTAAATTAAAAAATAAGAGTTATTTTGATGGAATGTCCGATATTTAACTTTATCGCTAATATTGGCCGATACCAATACCATGTCGATAATATCGTGCATCCCTACGTCACAAAGGTTCTTTAACTCATCTGTGGATGAATTACAACAATGCCACCATCTGGGTCGTTTTGGAGAAAGAAAAAAAAAAACATGTTTTGCTTCTTTGAAAAATGAGAAGCACTTTAAGAATTATAATATAAAGAAGGCATTTTCTCTGAACTTTAGACCAGTCTGAGGATTGTTTTAAAACTATACCCTTTCTCAGTAGTCAGGGATTCTTGTAATTTGCCCTTTCTTCAACAAGGGAACCCTTGTTTTCCACTCTTTCAGTTTGTTTGCATGTGCAGAACTGCACTGTGTGTGTTCGTCTTTTTAAAATCTCATCCCACAGCACAGCTGCAGGAGCTGAAGTTACCCAGTAGGACTGGAGAGCAGTTTTAACAGCTCATTAACAAAGAGACAAAGTCAGCAGAGAACAGTAGCAGGTTTAAAGAACACAGGCATGGTTATTGGACCGCATGTTTAGATGGAGATTATGATTGTTGGTTGTGGTTCAGATCTTATAGGCCCTTCCTTTTTGTGTGTTCATCCTTTGCATATTTTGATTTTCTGCAGGTTTTTACTTTCTCTCACTTTGCTTGTTTGGTATTTGATTGGAGATAGATAAACCCTTGATGTGTGTGTGTGAATTGTGGTATGTCTCTGTTTTGACCCTGTAAAATATTGGTGACCTGGCAGGGTGTACTCCACCTCTGGCCCATTGACAGGAAGCTCAGTGTCCCAGGATAAATGAGGACATTGTCAAAATGGTGTAAACTTTAAAGAAGTATTTCTTCTGCTGCAAATTACACGGTGAATGTCAGGAAGGATTCTTAGCTGCAGAGGTTGTTATAAGAAAATAACAATCGGAAAACAATTGTTTGAACAATAATTTAGGGCTAAAATTGAAAACATCAGTTTAAACTTAAATGTCATAATGTCATGCTTTTTAATGTAGTTCATGCTTGAATTTTAATTAAGTGCTTAGACAAAACATTTTAAACCTTTTATTACAATTATCTGACAAGCTGTCAAAATGTCTTTATACTTCTGGGTAATTTGTTCTTTTTTATTTGTTGATTTTTTTCAGCCCCAGATAATATGCCAAACTATTTGAATCTTTCTATTTCTTTCTAACTATTTGCATGTTTGTGTTTGCTTCATTTGTTTTTAAAAAAGCAAAGAAAGTTGGACCAAAAATGAGTAAACGAATAATCCCAACGGTGAACATTTTTAGGATGTGGATCATAATTTCTAATTCTGTGTACCTAAGATGTTTATGTAGGATTTCAAAAATGTACAACTTTTTTAACAACTTCTGATTTGCGATTATTTTTGACCGTTCATCATTATCTCAATGGTATTTATTTTCTGCACAAATTTCTCATTCTCTTTTCTCATGTTAGTCATATATGTCTTATTTCCTGTGAAGTTTTTCCTCACTTAATTTCATATTTGGACATTTTAACTCGAACATCCTTTAGCATTTGCCAAAACTAATGTTTTTCTCAGAGCAGGATTTAGGGATTTATAAAATGCTTTCACTTATCCATCTAACGCAGCCTTTTGATCCCATTTCTCTCGTACTGTTTCCTTGCAGAGATTGGACCGGTGACAATCACAACAGACCCAAAGAAGTTCCAGCAGGAGCTGAGGGAGCTGTACGTTCAGGTGGGCTCAGAGAAGGAAGCAGCAGCTTAGTCAGCACGCTCAGGTCATCTGGTCCTGATAAAAGCAGCAGCAGGCTCTGGTCTTACTGGACGTCTTGGTTAGAGAATCTGTGAGCTGTTAAAAATTACATCAATGGCTTTACTTTGAATGACAAAAGAGGTCTGTTAGGAAAGTCTAATGCACATTAATTTTGAAATATACCGACTTTTTTGAAAGAAACGTCATGTAACTAAGCTAACAGATAAACAACTCTTTAACAATTTATTATCTGGGAAGCAAAACAGGAACACTTTTACGATAAATAATAAAAAAAATGTATATAATATGAGGAAAAAAGAGATGTTTCAAACCAAATCCATCTAAGTGACAATAAGACGGTCAAAGACAGTTCAAATATTCTTTGATGAAAGACTTTGGCATCCAGCTTGCATACTTATCCTGCTTTGGTCTCGTTTGTTGTGTGCAGCATGGATATAATTCATTTTCCTCTCGCTTACAGCTTCGGTCTGTTTTTCCTCCCTTCGCCTCACCTGCATAACTCCTGATGAGATTTTGGCCAAAGGACATGGGGAAAAATAGTCTTTAAATTTCACAGTTTTATTCTAATTGTAAATCTTCTGTGTTCGTTTTCTTCTACTGTAAAGGGAATAAGAGAAAGCGCTTGATGCTTTGAAGAACAACTCTGCGCGTCGTGCTATCAAGTTTAGTTTTGGGAAGCTGAGTAAATAGAAAAGAGCTAGTTGCCCAAGAGAAATTTGGAAAAAATGCAAGATTCCAGTTTATTCATCCTCACTTCTGTCCCAAACTAAAATCATGGGTCACTCCATTCTAGATGCTTTTCCTGGTTCATCACACTGAGCTACTGAACCCAACGAACAGTTTGTTAGAATACTGAACAGGTTATTTATCTTTGAACACACCATCAAGACAGAAATATGATACATTTAATGATTAAACTCTCACACATTTTGTTGTTCCTCCTTGTACGGATGGAAAAATATGACATTTTTACAACTTTTTCATTTTATGTTTTTTTTTGTTTGTTTGTTTGTTTTGTTCAGCTGCAGAAGCCAAAGTAGAACTACGGTGGCCCTGAGGTGTAAATGAACAACATTTGAAAAAATTGAATTAAATTTGAAAAAACAAACAAACACAAAAACATTTGAAAAAAACGGAATTACATTAGGTCAAACCATAAGGGTCCATAAGTGGCTTTTTTTAAATTTACTTTATTTAAAACATAAAACAGAACAACAGGACAATGTACAGTAACAACATAGAAATACAAACTCTTGTGAAGGGTGTAGGGTCCATGTACCATTCCTTCAGTTGTTTTTTTTAATTGAGAATCCAAAAAAAAAAAAAAAACCGACTTGTTTCATTATTCATTTTCACGAGGAATTTGAGGATAAAGTAAAAAATAAATGCAAAAAGCATGGCTGTATGTTTTTTTTTAATCCCTCATGAAAATGAATATTGAAATAACAAGTTGTTTTTGTTTTTTAACTTATAGTTTGGCTTAATTTAATTCTGTTTTTTCAAATGTTGTTCATTTACACCTCAGGGCCACTGTATTGAACTCTTTGAATACAATGCTTCTTTTTATCTGGAGCTTGTGTTATGATGTTTGTCTTTGTTCCCTGTGGTAAAATGACAAAACTACAAAAACATATCTGGTAAAAACATATTCTCATAGACCTATTCACTAAAAGCATATTTCTAATATTGTGTTGGGCGACATACTTCTTTATATTCTTTTCTTTTGTAGGGTGGGGGTGATTGTCCAGAGATGAGCATTGGTGCCATTAAAATAGCTTTGGAGATCTCCTTGCCAGGATCCTTTATCTACGTCTTCACAGACGCCCGTTCTAAAGATTACAAGCTGACCCACGATGTCCTGCAGCTCATTCAGCAGAAACAGTCACAGGTTGCTGAAGATCACATTATGCAATCTTCATTTTTTAATGTTCAGAATCAAAGAGGGCACCGTTCCATGAGTGTCTTTGTTTTGATTCAGGTGGTGTTTGTGTTGACGGGTGACTGCGATGACAGGAATCACGTCGGTTACAAGGTTTATGAGGAAATTGCCTCTACGAGCTCTGGACAAGTCTTCCATCTGGACAAGAAACAGGTCAATGAGGTAAGAGACTTGTGGAATATAACTACCGGTATATCACTGCACTTCCGTTACTTTAGCTTCATTATACAGTAGGTTTTAATAATAAAATAATAAGAAATAATAATAAGAAATGTAAAAATCAGGATTTGTCTAAAGCAAGACAAACTCAAATAAAAGCAGGACAGCAAATAAGTATGATAGTTTGTTTATTGTAGTTTTTTAGTTTTATGTTAAATACTTTTAGTAATACAGTATTGTGGATGCTTATTAAGCATTCACACTATTGTTTTCCTGTTTATATTTATTATTCCTGGCAGTTACTATCCCTATTCTGTATGTTTTTCTGTGCAATTCTCATCATGCAGTTTTTAAGCTATTTCAGCAATTTAAATATCAAAATGTTCAGCTTCTTCAGGAGAAGAGTGCTATGACCTTTGGTATTGGTGCCCCTTTAGCTTTTTGAGATATTTAACCTTTTCTGCCATTTTTTTTCTCACAGAAAATGAATTGAACTAATTTTACATCCTTCAGATCTTGAGATCTGTTTACAACCTTTTACATTTTGTTCTGGTTCAGCTTCTTTCAGCTTCCTTATGCAAATGTAATTTTTTCCAGCTACTTTCAGCAAATTTTAGCAGGTTTTTTTTCAGCTATTTTCTTGCTCCTTTCTGATTTGTTCTCCTAAGTACAACATTTTTGTTCTTCTCCTAACTTCTTTCTGCTAATTTCAGCTTGTTGTGCCCCTTTCAGCTTATTTCTGCTGGTTTCAGCTTTTTCTGGTATTTCAGCTACTAGTTAGCTGTTTTTATGCTAATATTAACTTTTTCAGCTAATTCCACATTTTTTTCACTTATTTCAACTTTTTCCAGCCAAATTCAGCAAAAGTTGCTGCAACTTCCTTCTTGTAGTTTAAGCTTCTTTCGTCCATTTTTTAAGCTTTTTTCAGCTGTTGTTTTGTTCATTTCTGCCTTTTTCAGATAATCACTGTTTTGTGCTAATTTCTGCTTCTTTCAGCTTAATTGGGCAAACGTGCTCTCTCTACTTCCTTCTGATAATTTAAGCTTGTTCTCCGCTAGCATTTTAGCTTTTTTTTTTAAGCTAATTTCAGCAGTTTTCAAATGAATTCAAGTTTTTCATGGTAATTTCTGCCACTTTCAGACTAATTAATATCGTTATGCTCCTTTCAGCTTTTTTGTTACAATTTTGCTAGTTTCAGCTTTCTCTGCAATTTCAGTTACTATTTAAATGTTTTTATGCAAATTTTAGCTTTTTCAGCTAATTCCACTTTTTTATAGCTCATTTCAGCTCTTTCTGCTTCCTTCTGGTAGCTTAAGTTTCTTTCAGTCTTTTCAGCTACTTTTGGCTAATTTCACCTTTATTTTAGTTAATTTTCTAATTTTTGTGCAAATTTCTTCTTTTAAACCTATTTCAGCTAATATTTATTGTTCTTCTTTTTTCTGCTAATTTAAGCTTTTTCTTCCATTTCAGCTTATTTCAGAATTCTTTTAGCCAATTTCAGCTGTTTTTAAGCAAGTTTTTCTGCAACAAGCATTCACACTGCATTTTTGCAGGAAATGTAATTTAGTTAGTATTTTTATGATGTGCTGTTTCTATTCTGAGGATTTCTAAAGATTAAAAAATTGTTTTGTAATGCTCCTGTGGATTGGGGGGGGGGGGGGGGGGGGGG